CGCTCGGCGCCATGTTGTGTGGTGCCGCCGGCTCTCCTGTGGCTGGTCACGGGGTTGCGGTCGGATCCCAGGTGCTGCGGTGGTTGCGGTCGAGGCAGTACATCGACGGGAGGTCTTCGCCATATGAGGCGTTCCAAGAAGGGCCTTGCCTTCGAGGGTCGAAGGGGTTGTCATCTCTTCCTCGGCGGAAGGCGGCGGAAAGGCGGTGGAGGGTCAGCGGAAGTATAACGAGGCCGCCTCCGCCAGCGGAAGCCCGCGGAAGGACGGTGGAAGGTGGCGGAAGTAAAACATTCGCCCCCAATGTTGCCAAGAGGTGACAATATTTTTGTGTTCAGGCTTTACGGCATCCGCCATATGGCTTCTCTCTTCTTTATCTTTCTGTGGCCTGTGTGTTCATACTTTTGGCTTGGGCCAGGGATTTAGGCATCTGGTGCGTCTTCTTGACATGGCTGTCCTGGTGCTTGTTGTGAACTTCTGCGAGCGTCACCCCCCCTTTCCTTCCTTCCTTGTTCCGCCACCCCTTTGGGGGGGAGAAGCGACGCCAACACCACCAGGGGGCAACCTCCAGCGAGGAGGTCCACGATACCTCCCCGAGCTGGGGCTGGAGGATGTCTCGAGCGAGGGGGGGGGGGACCACACCATCAGGGGGACCTCTCCCTGGCTCCTCCCGCCGCTGGTCCCTGGTGGTATTGGTATCGCTTTTCCATGTTCCTACCCCTTCCTCCGCCCTCCCCCCCAAATCGGCCCCCCGCGGCCCTCGCCCTCGCCCTCGCCCTCGTCGCCGTCGGTGTCGCCGCCGCCGCCACCGCCGCTGTCGTCGTCGTCGTCGTCGTCGTCGTCGTCGTTGTCGTCGTCGTCGTCGTCGTCGCCGCCGCTGCCGCCGCCGCCGCCGACGCCGCCGCCGCCGCCGCCGCTGCCGTCGTCCCTGTCGTCGTCGTCCCCGTTGTCGTCGCCGTTGTCGTCACCGTCATTACAGCCAGCAGTAATCAGTCCGTCGCATGCTGGCTTTCTTGCCCGCAGCTGACGGCGAGGACCGAGCGAGGGTACTGGCCAGGTTGCCATGGGTACATGTGCAGTGACAGGCTCGGAGGATTTCGCGAGCGTGGAGTGAGCCGCCGTTTGGCGTTGAGATGTACAGTAATCACCAGAGGAAGAAAATGTTCGTACCCATGTCGCTACCCCTTTTGGGCCTCCTGGGAGGCCCTCGTAGCCACGGCTAGATTCGCCTCAAAATTTGGGTCAGAATGCACCGCGGTATCGATATTTTCTCGCCCCAAATCGCTGCCACCGGCGGTTCAGCAGCCTCCCTGGCTGTGCGCACGCACGCTCGCTCGCACGACGCCCAGCGCGTGATGCGCTCTCCCTCTCCTCCTCCTGTCTTCCTCAGTAGGAGGAGGAGGGAGGGATGGAGGGAGGGAGGGAGAGAGGGAGGGAGGGAGGGTGGAGGAGGAGGAGGAGGCGGAGGAGGAGGAGGAGGTTGAGGAGGTGGAGATGGAGGCAGTGGTGCAGGAGGGTGAGGAGGAGGAGGAGGCGGAGCAGGAGCAGGAGGAGGAGGTGGAGGAGGTGGAGGAGGTGGAGGTGGTGGTGGTCGTGGTGGTGGCGGATGATGATGATGATGATGATGATGATGATGATGATGATGATGATGATGATGATGATGATGATGATGATGATGATGACGATGATGATGATGAGGATGATGAGGATGATGATGATGATGATGATGATGATGATGATGATGATGATGATGCTGCTGCTAATGCTGCTGCTGCTGATGATGATGACGATGACGATGACGATGATGATGATGCTGATGATGATGATGATGATGCTGCTGATGCTGATGCTGATGCTGATGCTGCTGCTGATGATGATGATGATGGTGATGATGATGATGATGATGATGATGATGATGATGATGATGATGATGATGATGATGATGATGATGATGATGATGATGATGATGATGACGATGTTGCAAACTTTTGAAACGAATGTGCGCTGCGCTGAGGGGAGTGCCACATTTTGAAAACCACCCGCCCTCACCCGTGAAGCTCTTGCACAATTTTGGAACGAATGTGCGCCGCGCTGAGGCAACAGCCACGTTTTGAAAACGACCCGCCCTCAATCCGTGAAGCTCTCGCATTTTTTTTCACGAATGTGCGCCGCGCTAGGGCGAGAACAGCATTTTGAAAACCACCCGCATCTGTGAAACTGCTGTCAACTTTTAAGTTTCATAGTCGCACATGGTGAGGAAGTCTCAGGCGAAACGCCCGGCCCGCTCGAAAAACTGGCCTCGGGGTGCGACAGGGAGAAGT